GTACCTCCCAGCCATGAATGCAATTTAAAAATACGTTTTAGTCCGAAACCTTTTCATGTGAAAATTTCTGTGAGGAAGGTTTTAGAGGAATTACATACATCAGACATCTGTTTCATATCGCTGCCATTGTGAACAATTTTTGGTAATTTTCTCTAGAATGGAGCATTTCACATCAAACCACTCTGAATTACTTTGTTTGTATTGTAAAGTAATACAGTTCCTGTTTAAGGGTGGCTTTGGATTAAAAGTAATTTTTAATAGGCTTTACCTTTATCAGGAAAAACAACCCTTAAAAAAGAGTGATCAATAAAACGCTAATCTGGTCCAGAACCGGTCTCAATCTATAGTCTACATCAGTCCTCTCTTTATAGCTGTTTGAGCTGTTTTGTCTCTGATTTGGCCATGATATCTTGCAGTCAGATTTAACAATGTGAAGCTTTATTTGGTGTGGTCCTCCCACGTAAGGCAGTGACTCATAGATGCCGGTGATTCTGGCTCATGTTTAGCAGGAAGCGCTGCTGGAATATTGATGAGGGAGAATCCACCATATTACGTGTCTGTGTTTTGCACGCAGAATGTTTTGGGGTTTGTCTCCAAACTCCGCAAAACATGGTGGTCGTTTTGATGTTTGGTGATGTTCATTATGCATGGCAATAGATGATAGAAATGCATATGAAGGGAGACGTACAGTATTGGTGTGCGTGTGCTCTCTCGCTGCCTATTTTCTGTTTCTTATGCTGGGTTTGCAGCAGAAGCAGAAAAGGTTTTCTTCAGAGATTTGAAGTGCTATTTATAGATGCCTACTGGAGCACCAAGCGTATGGTGCTGCTGCCTCTCTCTCTCTCTCTCTCTCTCTCTCTCTCTCGCTCTCATGTACACGCTTTCTCACTTTCCCCATATTCCCCATCCTCCTGATAGGTTAATTTCTGTCTCTGTCATCTCCTACACCTTCACACTGCTTTCTCTAATTCCTTCCTTTTTTATCTTATGTCTTTTCATCTTTTGTCTCTGTGCACCTCGCTCTCTTTCTGTTTGCCCTCGTTTCCTGATGCTTCCGCTCTCTTATTCCGTGTTGTTGCCTCATTTTCTCCTCTCTCTCTGCTTTTTTCTCTCCTGCACCTCCGCCCCTTCTCTCTCTCTATCTCTTTCTTTTTCTCTCTTTCTTTTTCTCTCTCTGGATTGCTGAATGTGAATTATTGATAGTTGCTGGAGGGTGGGGACTGCTAGCATGGCAAGGAAAGAGCCTTGTTTCTGATTGGATATATAAGCAATATCAGGCATCTGTTAGCCTGCATACATTCAGCTTAAAAATAAGAGGCTGATAATCCCAGACAGGGAAGAAAAAAGACATTTTGATCCATTGGTTGAAATTGGCACCCTTTGCTGCCTTGTTCCTCAAGAAGTGTTTTTTCTGGATAACTGATGGCCAAGGGCTTGGTGCCAGCAGCTCCCCGTAAACTGAAAGCTATGGCTCAGACAGATGGAGGGTCATCCCTCATAACCCTGTGAGGGAAAACAGAGCAGGTCATGGAGGAAAAAGTACACCATGGTCTAAGCAAGGAGTACACAATAGTCTTCCCACTTCATCAACCACCCAAGGAAATATTTCCACGCTGTTAGTATGTGACTGAAAATCCCATGTTTTGTTTCTTAAGGCTACTGGGAGATGGACAGCAGAGCGTACCAAAGCAGACAGCACAAACGCACACATGTCTCCAATTGCTATCGATCTCAGATGGTCAGTGGTGCCATGTTGCAAAGTACTGTACGAGTTGGCGCAACTCACATAAACTGTTCTTGTGACTGCCCTCAAATGGATGTGAAACGTTCCAGATGCAGCATTTTATTTTATCATTATAAAACTCAAAGTGCCCTATACCAATGGCTCAACAGTAAGGATGTTGACCACACAAACATGCGTTTGCATCAAGTGTTGATTTGACGCAGTATGTAAACTGTAGATTAATCTGATCTTGAAGCCCTACTTTGTTTTGCTGTGCTCCTAAGAAAAATGTTGTTTTGGCCATCAAATAGTCCTTTGGGCACTACAGTTAAACCTCAGATCACAGTTGATTAAACTGCTTGATTCAGTGCCAACTTCCTAGCCAAGTTTTTTTGCAAAATGAAGTCACCCCAGAGTTTTCAGTTCGTTGGATCTGCAAAAGTTTGGAGTGCTTAATGGGTCTTTCTGGCCTACAACTAGCGTTTAATATGTTATTTGCCATGTTATGTGATACTTTGTGGTTCAGCACTGCATCCTTGCCGTCTGTTTGATAGAATTCACGATTTTGGATCCATTTGTCAGTGAAAACACTTAAAGTACATAACATCCATTGCGCAAATACATCATACAATCACTGAGAGTCCCCCTGGCATGATAAAGCAATCCTGGGTGTTAGAATAGCTACTGACCTAGAGGCTAACAAATATAGATGTGGTTAGGCCTATGCCAGTAACAAAGTCCTCTTATTCTGGTAACCGTATGGAAAATAACTATGATAAATGGTCCAGCCGGTGAAATAGAAATATTTGTTGGCGTCAAAATTTGACGCATCAAGCAGACGTTTGCGCACATGCAGTGTACGTAAGACTAAAGTGAAACATGACAATTTGTTGCTTGCCTGTGTAGGGGCATGGCTAAACATGCTGTGTTTAGGCTGAAGAGAAAGATGTTATCATATGGAAAGACGTTAGTTAGCCGACATGGAACCAAAAAACATCACTCTTGTTCTTTGGTGACAACTCGCGCAGTATGTTTGAATTGGCCATCGCGTGCGGCCAAAGCCTGGAATTTATATACTCACACTGTACGAAAACACTCGGTCCGACTGACATGACACAACTTGGGTGCTCACACTGCATGTGGAACGCAGCCACCACAGACAGCTCTGTCTACAGATAATCTCCAATAAAGCTGTTTCATTCAAAACACCCCACAGCGCCTCTGAGTCCCAAGCAAAAACATTAGCTGAATCTCAAATGGCTCCCTGCTCCCTACATAGTGCACCACATATTTAAGAAGTTGTTTCTGCACCCATAAAGTGCATCACATGTCTAATAAATTGCCCTCTGAGCTTCAGCCATGTGTGCACAGTTCTATACTGGACAAACAGTGCACTATTTTGGTGTAGAAGCCAGAACTTAGTGCACTACATAGGAAAGAGGGGCCATTTGAGATTCAGCCGTTGACAAACTGCTACAATAGCTTTACTAACTTATGGCGCTCTGTGCAGTGGAACTAAAAAAACAGGTGGTCTACAGACGGTTCTACAAATACAAAAAATCACACTTTTTAATAATACCTTGCAATTCAACTCAGTCAAATGAAGCAAAGTCCGCATATACAGACGCTGGTGTTGCAAATGTGGACTTTTTTGCCTCCGTGTAAGAGCAGTGGTTGTGTTTGTCTGTGGTTTTGGGTGCGACTTTGAGAATTCGGTGAGTGAGACAAGAAATCAAAATTTCTGACATGAAACATCCATCTGATCGTCCGACTGCTCAATCGGAGCTCATTTTGGCAGTTAATCGGGCATCGTTTCTCCTCTCACACTGCACGGCAAAGGATGGCTAATGAAGCTGAAATTCGGTCCAATCATGAAATTCACTCGGCTCTGACCAAATTAAAAACAGGCTAAAATCGCACAGTGTATGCCTGGCTTTAGGTACTGTTAATATTTTGAATGGCAGCCATTGAGAGTCATTTTTTAGTCTGAGAATTGCCATAACATTGCTTTGTCAGTCATCTCTCCAACAGGGTTGTACAGCTGATTTAGTAGCATAAAGGAAGCACAGTTGGCTTGTCGAGGTAACACTGAGAAAAGAGGAGTGTCTTTTCTAACACCAGCCATCGTCATTAGCCTAGCTGCACCAAGTTACATAAGACTTCTGATTTATGTTTGTGACACTAATGAGGCACTCACATTTTGTAGTAATGTTCAAACCTTCAATGTTCAAAGTAAAATAATATACAGTAGTAAGACACTTCACTGATTGAGAGGGCGGCTGAGCTGCCAGTTAATTAGACACAGGGCTACTTTATAGGCTTATTGCGTAACTACAGTATCCTGGAATTCATGTTTGCACAGTGTCAACTTTTGTGAGTGTTATCTTTTAACATTTACAGTTCTACATGTTCTACCTGTTTCCACAGTAACTCAGTTAACCATCTCACAGGCCTAGATGGAATATTCAGAATATTATCAGTACAAGTAGCTATTTAGCTTCCTTCTGTGTTTTACCAGCTGTCAAGAAAAAATCAAATAGCCTGCCCTCAAGTACCCACCCCATTGTGCTTGTGTTGTGTCTCATCTTCGAGGTCATCACAAGGGGGGTTTCCTAGTCTTAAACTGGAAAAATCTCACTCTGGAACGCAAGTTGGCGAAACAACAATTGTTAAGTTTTTCAATTTGGCCAGGGTGCCCCTTTAAGCTTTTGCCTTTAAAACATTTGGTACCTGTTTAATGTGATGAAATGTTTCATGTTTTGTTCTTTTAACATCATTAGTTGAAAGCAAGGCTAGGTTTAGGGTTCTCGGTCTCCCTCTCCCTCTCCCCCTCTCTCTCTCTGTCACACACACACAGGGATCCCTCTTTAGCTCTTGCAGTATTAGGTATTATTAGTACAGGTCCTTATCCTCAGTCACATGTTGAAACCTAGCCAGGCCTGTCTGGCCTAGAAACATTCACACTCACCTGATCGCAGCGGAAACCAATACCAGATTTGTGACTCCACTGGTGATTTTTGGGAGGTATTTTTTGCCAGTGCCCTTTACCCTGTGTAAGTAATGGAGCAATAAAATCCACCCAAGCAGTTTGGATTAAGAATGATTATGAGATAAAGCTGAAGAACTAGCGTTTTATTTGTGGGCATTTGTTTTCAGGTCACTGTCAGTGTACTGTACTGAAATTGTAGTCTACTAACTTACAGAATATGTTTGAGTGGATATTATTTGAATCCAGTAACCACAGAGACATGAACCCTTGCTCTCCTCAATCCCACAGTGAGATTGTCCAGATTCCAGATGCCACAGTAGAGCTCATGATGGCTGGAACTCGTCGAGGCTTTGGGGGATGATTTCTTGAAGGTAGGAGCAGTGTAAGCTTTCAATGTTTATCTAAAGTCAGATCTGAATTGAACTTAGATTTGTAGCATCTAGGGATTAATGATATCAGGTAGCAGCCCGATACTGTGCTCATTTACTCATACTCAAAATAAAAAGGCACCAATACCAATATCCAGTACCCCTTGATACCATGTGTTGTAAGCCAAGTGTATGCTGCCTTGCTAATTAACTGGCAGTGACTGACTGAAGCTGGCATGTGAATGAGGCTCTGCTTGAACAGAGAAGTGTTGCTGACACTGTGGTGCCTGGACACAAAGTCACTGGTCAGTTTAAACTTCCTACTAAGTATAGTCCCACCTGGAATACACTGTGCGTTTTTAGCCCGTTTTTAAGCACACAAACACAACCTTAACAACTTCCCCAATACGGGTTGAGACACAAAGGTTGTGACAGTGTTACACTGCTGTCCGTATATGCCGACTTTACTCTGTTTGACTAAATAGAATTGTGAGGTAAAAACATTTATGCGGTGATTTTTGTCATACCGTGTGCACTACTGCCTGGTTTAGCTTCAGTGCACAGTGCTAGCAAAGCTGCTCAGTTTCTTTGTGTGTTTGCTCAGTACTCAGACATTATTTTGAATGAAAAAGCTTTAATTGAAATTGTTCATAGACAGCTGTCCATGCAGAGGATGCGTTTCGTGTGTTGTGGTCCGAGTGTTTTCGCACAGCGTGAATGTATTGTAGCGTGTTCAAGAAATGTATACATGTTTATTCTGGGTTATTGGTTCCACAACAGTTATTCTCTGGGTTTATTCTGGTGAAGACTCTTATTCTGAAGGGCAGAGCTATCCCACTTTGTTCTGTGTTTATGCCTGTACAACAAGAAGATCTAGTCAGCCGGTGCACTGAAGTGAGAGAGTGCAGACCTGAGCTAATGGTAGAGCTATCTGTTAGCCTAAAGCCTTGCTTTCTGTACGGCATGACTGGGACCGACTACATCCTTTGATTAAGCACAACAACTCTTTAATAGCAGTAAATGGTACAGTATAAATTGTAGGCTTTGTTTGTAGACAATGGTCTATTCAAAGCTACAGTGCGAGTCACCAGATAAGATTTCTAAAATTGCACAGTCTTTGTCTGACTTTAGAGCTGGGGTTCCCAGTCCCAGTCTCGTGACTCTTTGCAGTGTGCATTTTTGTGGTTTGTCTGTTCTATACACCTGAGGAAAGTGGGCTCCTCAGATGCATTGTGATTCCTGCTGTCACTGTGCAACAGAGACTGTGGTTGAGACAGATGAGGATCAAAACTATGAAAGGTACTTCACAGAAATGTTTTTCTGACATGGAACAAATCTGTATTGGTGAGGACTGAAAATACCCACTCATGCTCGGTCTGATAAAAATGACATCAATGCATCCCCAGTAATATCTAAAAGAAGTGTTCCTATATTTGCAGTTCTATGGACAGGTCAGTTTTAAAGTCCAGTAGGAGACCCTCTGGGATTTTGTCTGTAATAGAATAGGACTTGTGTGTATAACACTTAAAGATGCAGTAGTTAATGTTTTTATTGTCTTATTACAAATTTATTACAAATGGACATTTTTGTAGAACATGCAAAAAAATGCAACAGAAGTGTCAGAGGAGGCCCTTTTGGCGAAACCAAAAAAATAAAGGCCTCATGAAGCAGTGCTTTTTTGATGAACCACATTCCTAGATTGTATATAATGTTAAATAACTGTAGCTAATGTTGTATGCTAGCTACCTCCAGCTATCTTCAGTAGACTCTGTTGGCAATATATCGCCTGTACCAGTACGGCGAGTACTGACAAATCTATTTAACATGTTTGATTGTTTGACGTGATAATGTTTTTCAGTTTAGGTGGAATATTAAACAATATAATTTATATAGGGCTGCTAATATAGAAGAATTCATTTTTTTAAAAATATTCTTTTGAGTTTGGATTGAGTCTTGAATATTCTATAAGAAAATGGAAAGCATAAGATGATATTTGGCTGACTGATGTTTTTATTGTACTCTATAAGAGCAGAACGTTTAGCCAACGCTGGATTACTTTGCTAAAATGCCTGCAGTTTATTCACTATACTGGGTTTGTAACCCTACAAAACTTAAATGTGAATACATTTTTCGGCAATGCTAATCCAGGTGGATTTGGTCACAGTTTCAACGTTTTATAAATATTAAATGTGTCGAAATTGGCAGATAAGTACTTTGGAAAACATTGAGTATCTGCATCGGTCTGCAATTCAGTCCCATATCAGTGCATCCCTAATAAAATATTCTTGTGACATTATTCACTTCCAACTTCAGTGTAAAAACAAAAATGATGAAATGTTTCTCTTTATCTCCACACAGCATCACTTCTGGAATAAAATGTCAGCCCAATTTCTGCAGTTGATATTTTGCATTATTGATATACAGCCTCAGAAAGGAACCAAAATTTTAGTATGTTAGCCTAAGGGAAAAATGTAGGCATTGAAAAATTAAGTAGTAATAAAATAAGTTAAAATAATGAATGCAGATTAAAATATAATCTGATTCCCTGACACCAGGATATATTTGGAAAATGTTATGATACTGAATTTTATTAGTACCTCCTTGCAGTAATTGTAAGTTTGATAAGTGCGGCTAACAGTGTTTACAAGCTGTAGCCGATGAGATCCGAAACCCCATTCACAGATACGTTTTTACCTGTAAATGTCCTCTTTAGTCTAAAGTGTTTAAGAGAGACAATGAGAGAGTTAACATACTGGGAATGTTCAGCTGCTTCATTAACACAATGTCATAAATAATGCTGTATATTATCAAGCAAAAATCAGCTGCAGCAGTTTTACAACTTTTGGCGTGTGTGTGTGTGTGGGTGTGGGTGTGGGTGTGTGTGTGGGGGTGTGTGGGTGTGTGTGTGTGTGTGTGTGTACGTGTACAGCTCCTTGTTTTTATCTTCACTGTCCATGTAATCAGCTCCACTCAGCGTATAGGTTCTACAACTACAGACTGTAGTCCATCTGTTGCTCTGCATACTTTGTTAGCCCCCTTTCACCCTGTTTCCCAATGGTCAGGACCCCCAGAGGATCATCACAGAGCAGGTGTGATGCAGCCTCTGCTACCTATTGCACCTTTACTTTTTCTCCACTTGTGGTCCAGTGATGCCTTAAACATTCACAGATCACCTGTAAAAGAGTTCCCAACAGACAATGTTATCCCACATTCACTTTAAATTAATCATAGATTTGAATTGAGAGATATTGGTAGCTGTGTGACTTCATGCATTTGTGCACTTTTGATTTAATTAATTAATTAATTTTACTCTTGTACTACAAGCAGTGTTCTTTTGAGTGATTTTCGCTTAAGTGTGTTTGAGCATGTTTCTTAAGCTGGCCACCTTTGACAGTCTTTGGCTGCTCATCAGTGCAATTACACTAGCTATTTCGGAGAGAGTAGAAGATGAAGAGAGAGAGAATCAAACGAGAGAGTGGGGGAGTGCTGGAGAGAGAATGAATGAGCGCATGCTCGCATGTCAGTGAGAGAGGGAGAGGGAGAGCGTGAGTGCAGCTTGCTGCCTCCTGCGCTTCATTCAGAAAAAGAAGGGGGGCGTCAGTAACGGCGCGTCCTCCGTTCACGAGAAAATAGCGACAAGCGCGGTGGAGGAGAGGGGAGAGCAGAGAAGGAGGAGAGGGAGATCCGGCTCCATGCAGGCATGGACTGTTTCGGTGCGTTTCTACTTGATTGTTTCTGTGTGCTGTGCTATCAGTAAAGCACTGCAAGCTTCAAGGACCTGACGCTCACCGGAATTCCCACAAATACAGCACTCGGTACAGTAAGGTGGGTGTGCAGGTACATGCTTGCATGGACTTTTGGTAAATTAATTATGGTTCTTAATAGTACATTACAGTTAATTCATCTCATTTCTGTTAATTCTCTGTCTTTTCCTGCATCTCTCTAGCTGTTGTACAATGTCCTACTTAGTGTAGATTCACTTTTTGCCTTCATGGCCACTCGGTGAAGCTTTTTAAATTAATGAAAAGCATGAAGTTATGGTGATGGTGATTTGTGTAACTCTAATTGCCTCTGTTAAAGCAGACCGTGCAGGTGCTTTCTGGAAGATGTAGTGGTTAGCTAACTTGTGGGCGAATTGGAGATGGAAGAAGGGGAGAAAATGGGTCAGGGATGTGACGTGTTCTTGGAAATTGCATTTAAACATGCACTGGGGTTTCATTTGTTTGTGCATATATGGGTTCTGAGCTTGGGGTAGATGAGACTCTTGTTTATATGTAATAATCTATTTTTTTATTAACGGTTTAGTCTATGGGTTGATTTTATGGTGTGATCGCAATACTTGTATGGCATGTACAACTTAAACTGTGTGCATTGGCTTTGCATGTTTGCTGTGGTCGTGTATGGCATTGAGAGAGGTCCCTGTCTGCCCACCCATGTGCAGAGCGAGGGGGAGGGAGGCCGGGCGTTTGCTGAGGTAATGAGGAATTCCCTTTTACCAAGTGCGTCTGGCCCTCGCTCTGGGGGTGGATGAGGAGATAGGAGCTGGGGGTGGAGTGTTAGTGGGAAAGGGGCGTCAGCTTGCCACACTGCTGTCACCCACATTGTCACAGACACACAGGGCAAGGAGAGCAGTGTGTCAGTGTGGGGGAGTGGAGAACAAGGAAGGTGGGAAGATTAAAAGCAATAAACGGAGGCGGTGAAAAGAACCAATCAGGGAATTTTCCAAAGACTTTGTTCATAAAGATGCTGACCTCCAGTGGACACACAAAAGCGACCCCTCCTCCCCACTGTCTGCCTCTCTCTCTCTCTCTCTCTCTCCTCTCTCTCTCTCTCTCTCTCTCTCTCTCTCTCTCTCTCTCTCTCTCTTTCTCTTTCCCTTAACTTCCTCTATCTCTCTCTCTCCCTCTCCTTTTCATACTCTCTCTCTCTCGCGCTCGCTCTCACTCTCTCTACCCCTGCAGAGCCACAGCCATCAACAACTCTGTCTGCACCTCCACCTGAGC